CCCCTGGCGGCCGCGGTGAGGGGGTGAGGGGGAGCCGCCGCCTCTCGGCCCGGACGGATCCACCGGGTGATAAAATCACGGTATCGAACATGTTGGAAAAGACCTCTGAGGTCATCGAGTCCGACCTGTGGCCCTACACCACCTTGTCTAGCAGACCATGGCACCGAGTGCCACGTTCAGTCTTTCCTTAAACATGTCCAGGTACGGTGGCTCCACCACCTCTTTCAGCATCCCCTTTCGGTGTAATCGCCGCTTCTGTGAAGAAATTCTTCCTAACGTCCGACCTAAACCTCCCCTGGCGCAGCTTAAGACTTTGTCCCCTTGTCCTGTTGCCGGTTCCCTGGGAGAAGAGCCTGACCCTGGGTCTTTTCCAGCCAAAAGATTCTGTGACACAATCAGAGAATTAAGATAGTCTACTAGAGAAAATGACATGAACTTTTAAAAACCATTTTTTAATCCTTAATTTCTGTAATGAATGTTTGAAACCGGCAGCAGGAACTAAATAATATGGTTCCTTATTTGTTGATTACCGTATTTTCCTTGCATAAATTTTCATCTGATCTTTTGGTCGGTTTTGACCTCCCATCTAATTATGAGTGATCAACAGTAACTCCCAGGGGAAAGAGGCTTCCCCTTGAAACCTGCACTGCTTTTAATATTTGCTTAGCAGTATGTGCCTGTTCCTGAGCCAAAACACTTAATCAATACATGTGACCATGGCAGGCTGAGCATAAATTTAGGCTTCCCTCCACATTCTTTGCACTGACCTCCTGTCCCCCTTGCTCTTTGACTCCTTTATCTCAGCTACAGCTCTTTTCCTGACTTCTAAGCACCATTTCCCAAAGCACTGACACGAACTGAAGTGCTCTGTTTAGTCTCTTATTTTTGAAAAACTGGTAAAGGCTTAACATATTTGACACAGATACTGTTGTCAAATGGTCAACACAGAAGTGGTTGTTCATGTGCAGGTGACTGCATGCACACCTGTCCTTGTACATGCGGGTAACATGAGGCTACATCCTTTTTAAGGTTCCCTTAAAAAGTCATGATGCTTCTCAGCCAAACCAGCAGAAGTGCTGGGATGACAGGAAGGAAACACACTGGAAATGCAAGAGCAATTCTTCTGATTCTTTTTAATAATAATAAGAAGGAATGAGCCTAGCATACACCTTAAGCTCTCAATGTTAAAGAATTTGAATAATTAATTAGTACTGAAAACTGCTGACTTTATTAATTGTACACTGTTTCTGCTCTAACTGACAGCCAAACATGCCAATTGCATTAGAGTAAGTAGGATGGCCTCTAAATTATTGAAGTCACTAATGATGTAACCTTAGCTGGGGAAGGCAGATGGCTCTGGAAACTGGAGAAAAATGCTATTGAAAAGCATCTTGAATTGTTTATCAGTTTGTCACTCATGGCAGCTGCATGACTTCATGTTTATTAGGCAGAGGAAATTACATCTTTGCAGAATTAAGGAACACTCAATTAAAACCCCAGTTTTGGTATTTAGTCAGGTCTTACATGATGATTAAAATTCATCTATACTGCAGTGGTCTTGACCTTTTCACTCCAAACCCACTGTTTTTTGCATCAGAATGGCTTCTCAGACATTGATAGAGCCCGTGTATCAGGAGGATTATAACCACAGTTCCACACTGACACAGCCCAGCCTGATTTGTCCATGAAGACAAGCCTAATAATGGCTACTAAGGTGTTATCTAAGCATCAGGAAACTCACTGGCCAAGACAGCCAGAGCAAGGACTTGTTCCTAGTAGGGTTATGCTGCCTGCTGCCTCTGCAGGGTGTTGCTGGGGCTGTGCAGTGTTTTCAGGCTGACTGACTGCTGATATCTCTGCTGCTTGTAAAGATCAGCAGGAGGACAACTGGGTGTAGCAAGGACAAAGTTTCCCAAGATAGAAGATAAAGGTCATAATTAGTGTTTGCAAGTGACTTGGTTGCTTTCTCCCTAGAACTGGAATGTCTCTTTCCCAGGATGCAGGCAGGGATGAGCACCAGGATGGCAGGGAGGGCTCATTTCATCTTGCCATAGAAGTGGAATGTGTTGTCTTGGAGGGACTGCAATGGCCAGCTCCATAAGGAGCTGTTAAATCCACAGAGTTACATCTGATATTTTCTCAAAACCAAACCCACATGAGGAAGAAAATGAGCTCATAGGTTAAAATCCTTATGAATGGCAGACTCTTTGACATAGCAGATTGTACATTTGTTAGGATTTGCTAACATAAAGTCATACACAATTGAATTAATTGAACTGTTTTCTGACTTCCATGTCCTGCTCAACCATTAGTCTATGCATTTCACTCCTGAGTGAGCACAAACTGATCCCAGGGTTTCCCCAGTACACCATGGCTGAACCCTGTGCCCAGCAGCTGAAGCTCCTTCATGCCCTCTATAATCTTGACCAGGTAATGAGAGTTTTTATCATCTTTGTCTTGGACATGAACTTCCCCCAGGGCCTCCCATAAATCAGAGCTCATGTATCAACTTGTCCCAAGCACTCTGTGGTGTCAGCAGGACCATCTTACCAAAATCACCACTGATGTGTGGAAGTTTCCTGGTCTTTTGCAAGGCTGACTTCAAGCATGAAGACTTGTGTCTTTTTGAGTGATTGTGCTGCTTCTTTTGTGGTTCAGAGGCTCAGAAAGCTCAGGAGTCCCTCTCTGTTGCTTCCTAGCTCATTTGCTAGCGCTGCTGATATAGGCAGATAGGTCTTGGCCCCACTAAATCTTTATATACTCATGCAGACAGATACAGGGTAGATTTTCAGCCTCTGCAAAATATCACCTATCTCCTTATTCATCTGGTCACCTAGGAACATAAGGTTTTAAAGAAAATTTTGGGTTTATCATTTCATTAAAACAACAAGGGCAAAAAGTAATTTTAGGGATAATCTGGAGCTGATTCCTTTCTGCAGCATAGACTGTGGGTACCCTCTGGGCACAGGGTGAAGCTAAGGGCACAAGTGCTAGAAGAACTGCTGGTCCCAGGTCCACCATAGAATGAAGACAGTTAAAGTAAAACCCAAAACATCTGGCTAAACCAAGAATTACATCAAGGTTTCCTGCATGGCATCCCGGGGCTTGGAGATACTTCTCTGTGTGACCTTGCTCCCTGAGGATACAGAGTTTGGTGAGAGTAGAAGAGACCAAGACAAGCTGAGATGACAACTATATGAAACTGTGAATGACATCAGTGGTCAGATAAGACACGGATAAGTCCCTTTGAAAATCCTGAGTACCAAGCCTGTGCTGGTCTGAGTGAGGAAGGGAAACAGGAAAAGCTGCATACCTTGAGCAGCGTGTAGGAGCATCTATCTTTGCCAACTTGTTTGACAAGCCATTGATGCAAATCATGGTTTCTGGTTCTCTCTGTGAGAACTGCTCCTGCTGAATGCTGCAAACTGCTGTTGATGCACTGCTGCCATTTGGGCACCTTCCCTTGCACCTGCCACCACAGCCATCACACAATGTCACCTTGGCCCCTGTGCTGTCCCAGGGGGAGTTTGCTGGGAGGTTTGGTGTGTTGACAACTGTCTTTCAAAGGCAGCTTTGTGTGAAGCGTGGTCACACAGGATGCACCCAAAAAGGTGCAGAAGTGCCAGGAGGGTCACAGGAGGATGAGGAGGGGTGAGCAACTTTGGCAAGCATTGGCAAAGAGAACAAGCAGAGGAAAATGGAGGAGGGAGGGAGATCTCAGCTAGCAAAATACTATGAGGAAGCTCAAGTCATCCTGCAAAGGGGTGAAGAAATGCACTAAGAAATGCAAACACAGAGATAACTGGTAGAATGTGATCCAACACCCACCTCCAGGCACAGGGGAGGGGAAAATCTGCACTGGGAAATGCTCTGTACCCAGCTCCCACAAAGTCTTCCCTGGACACCCAGGTAACAACAGTGATGAAAACCCCATAAAGAGCAAATCAGATCACAGAAAACACACTGACAAAAATATATCATGCAAAATGTTTCCTGAAGACGGCGTGGCAAGGAAGAGAGATATGGCAAGGTTGTCTGTGACTGTATGTGTCAGGTGTGGAAACAGACAGTGGCATTTGCAAGCTGCTGATTATTAAGTCACATGGCAAGCCCTGTGCCTGGGCTATTTACACCAGCAGCTATGAAACAGGTTTGTTTTCATGCAGGTTATGAGACTGAGAGGGAGCACATTGTGTTATAACACATACCTTTCCTTTCTGGGAGCATGGGAAGTTCTCAACACAAGACATGCTGTAGGAAAGAAAATATCCCATGTAACTGAAAAGTAGATCTGGAAAATATTTTCCCTGAATGGACTGGGCAGTCTTTTCCTGTTGTGATTAAGAGGGAAAGAACTTCTGATTTATTTTTTCTGAAGATTATTCATCAGGAGCTGCAGTGATAGGACGAGGAGTAATGGGTTCAAACTGAAAGAAGAGAGATTTAATTTAGATACACAGAAGAAATTCTTTACTGTGAGGGGGTGAGGCACTGGAACAGGTTGCCCAGAGAAGTTATGGATGTCCAATGCCTGGCAGTGCCAAGGCCAGATTGGATGAGGCATTGAGAAAACTACTGAGAAGTGTACCTGCACTCCTTCCTTGTGGAGATGCACTTCTCATGCCTGGAAGTGCCCTGAGGTGTGTGCTTTATGCAGCTGAAGGGGTTGGTTTGTTTTTTCTCTGCAAAGGCCAGATCCACCCCAGGAAAATCCAGCAGTGAGGCTCCTTGCCATGGTTCAAAAGGTGGGAAGAAGAGGTTTAATGTCCACTGGGAGGTTGGTGCCCTTTTGCTCCAAACATAGGGTATGCCCAGTCTGGATCCTTCCTCCATCCCTTCCTCCATTCCACAGGTGTAGGGACATGGTACCTGGAACTAAACAGCAGTGACTGCTCCCTGGCAAGCAGGAGGCAGGGCAGGTTGAGCAAAACTGGCAGTGCCTGGAGGGTTTCCCTGCTTCCAGAAGCAGGGCATCAAACTTTCCTGTTGAAAGTGAAATAACCTTGTTATTTTTATGGTCAGTTACCCAAAGGGCAAAGCAGGATGAAGTGCAGCTACTAAACCAAAGGTGAGGTGAAGACTCAGTGCCTGCTGAATGGGTTAAGAAACAGTTGAGAAAGCCTTATCTGTCTTTTGAGTTGGCCTCCCAAAACTCAGACTGTGCATGGCTTTCTATTCAAAGAATTTTGCTGCTGCTCTGACTTGCACTATTTCATCTGCTCTCACAAACAAACCAATTTAACTACACAGACAGGCTGTTTAATCGCTCTTCCTGGCATGCTGACAGTTCCTGCATGTGCAGATGAGTTGTGTCTCAGCTTTGCCAATGCAAATGTTCTGTCCTCCAAATTTCCATGCTTTATTTTTGTCTGAAGATGCTCAGTGGATTCATATTCAATTGTTACATTTTTGCTTTCTCTATACTCTGTGTCTAGATGCCTAAAAGCACAGTGCTATTTTATGAATCAGGCTTGGTGTATCAATGTATAGCAGAGCTGTGAGTTGTGGTTTTCTCTGAACATCTACTTTTGTTGTTCATTGTAGCTCTCCAAAAATCGTGATCAAAGCAATGAATGCTGGCATACACACTGAAAGAGCATGCATTGGCTGTTTTTGTAAGGAACAATTGAGAGCAGCTTGCTTTGAAGTGAGTTTTGTCAGATTTTAAAAGGTAATTTGTTACTTGTGAAGATTTAAAAAATCCAAAATTAATGTCAGGGTTGAAAGAGAAACAAATACATATCTTTTACCAACATGATTTTACAGAACACTTACATTGAAAAGGAAAGAGAAATAAGAAAAATAATAGCATTACAGTGGAGGAATTATGTTGCATACATTTTCTGTATTGGACAAAATTCATTCTAAAACAACTGCATTCTAAATACACTCACAAAAATCAGTCTGACTTCTGACAGAGGGGAGTCTGAAGTTAGAAGTTTATATATACAATTAACATGAAGCCAGTCAGTGCTAAGAAAATCTTCAGCTCCTGGTCATCACACCTCTATTTAATAACCTGTAGCTGCTCCCCTGGGCACTGCCTCTCTGATGTGGTGCAGGGAGGGCCCAGACTCTCCTGGCCTACAGCCACTGGGTCAAACTTTTTTTAACTGGGATTTTATCAGCTCTTGATCTCTGGTTTAGACTCAGTTCCTCCACAGAATAACTGCAAATGGGATACAGTTGCATGAAGGGACTTCCATGTCTGCAAGAAGTTTTACTTGGAGGAAAATGAAGCTGTTCTGTTCCACAGAGGTACCTGTTGGGTAGAGCAGGAACTGGAAGTTCTACCCCTGTGGGCAGGACCCATGCTAGAGCTGGCACTCATTTAGGGCTCACTGGTGGGATTTCAGTATTCCAAGCTTCATTGCTAAAACTTTTATCTTCCAGACCAGCTTCTCATGGTCCCATGGCTTGCTTGGGGCTGTGGGCTCAGGAGCTCATGTGCAACCTCATTTGTGAGCCCAGATTTACCTGTGCCTGTATTGGTACTTTCCAGATCTGGGTTTGCAGTTCTTCCCTCAAAACTTGCATCCTCTTCCACAGATGCACCAGATGCTTTCTCCAGCTCCATTACCTGTCCACAGAATGCCCATAAAATGCAGAGCACACATCAGCACTTTCTGGGAAGTCCCAGGGTGATGCAGCAATGCCCAACCACCATGGCATGAGTCAGGGTTGCCATGGCAGCCTCAGCTTTGAATTCTCCTGCTCTTATGGTTTTCTGCCTAAATCTTAGGATTAGTTTAACCCAAGTTTGTTTGTTTGTTTGTTTGTTTGTTTGTATCTATCTATCTATCTATCTATCCATCCATCATCCATCCATCCATCCATCCATCCATCCATCCATCCATCCATCCATCTACCTACCTACCTACCTACCTACCTACCTACCTACCTACCTACCTACCTACCTATTTAGAGATAGATGACAGATGATAGCTAGCTAGCTAGATAATCTGCACTTTTGATGATAATTACTGTTTACTGCACTTTTCTCTTGATAGACTCTGGGTCCCAGAGGAAATTATTAAATTGCTCATTGCTGCTTTTTCCAGTGCCCAGAAAGAACTCATGGTGAATATCTGTGAACCTGGATGGACAGATGTGGGAGAAAAGTATGAAACTGGCCTTCTGAGTTTTTATGGAAATAATCAACCAAAAAACTCCACTCATTGAACCCCCTGCCCCATTCCTGGGGATGAGCTTTGCTCTCTGGTGCATGAAGTGTTGACAGAGCACAGAGATGGGGAGAGAGGTGGTGGTGGTAGCAGAGAGGTATCAATGCAGGGTGGAAGTAAAATCTGGAATAACAGTGGTTTTGGGGTCAAATGAGCCTGATCTCTCCCAGATCAGGAGTATTTGCTGATATATCAAAGTATTTGATGTGGTAACCGTAAGGCACACCACAGGCTGCACTGCAGCTTGTCAGTGTTTTATCTCATTCTCTTTTCTGCTTTTTGCTTGCCAGCAAGAAGTGTGTCTTATTCTGCCATCGTGGTCTATGTGAAGGATAACTCAGGTTGCAGCAATTTCCTGCTGTACACTTCCATTTGTGCCTCTTTGCTGCTGAATATATGTCTTTAATTGTAGGCAGCAGAAGCAATTTATTTGTTTAACAGTGGCCAGGAAACATACCCAGGGGAGATCTCTGAACATGACCACAAAGCTGATAAAGATTAATGTTAGGTGATAGAACACTGGATAAAGCTATTCTCACATTTGGGTCAATATCTGCTATTCATAGCATGAGCATTAAGTAAACTAATATCAGCTTATTGTGTGCTATTATATTTAATAAGTTCAGCATTTACTTTTCCTCTAAAGACTGCCAAGGACCACATTAATATCATTCTGTGCTCTGGCAGGCAAGAGAGCCGTGTGGTGAGTTTAGTACAACAGTCACATCAGAGCTTTCAAAGGGCACTATGTGACCTCTATGTTTCATTGTTAGGCAAATCTAATGGTGTTTGAGTTAGTCCCCATTGCTAACACAGAATTCATTATTAGAGGGTGTAAATCTTTTTCCTGCTACAGGTGTTGATATCTGCTGTAGAAGCAAATAGAGACATCAGTAGTCATCTATGAAAAAAGAAGCTCCAATGCTATTGTTGATATTGTTGTGGTTTATCCAACGGCTCCAGGTCCCTGCTGTGCTGTGAAATAACAAAGCAGCTCCTTTGCTGACACCTGCACTTCCATTCTCACCTCCATTAATTCCCTGCATTGATTAGAAAGTAATCATCATCATCATCATCATCATCATATTCCCAGAAATATTTAGGAAGTGCAGAAACCCAGCTGCATCCTGCACATGGTGGGCTAGTGTGCTTGTGTAAGTCCAAGCCAGGAAACTCCTCATCCCCTGAACAGCTGCCTCTGCAAGGCTGCTTCCAAATATCTGCATCCTGGCAGGATTTCTTCCTTTATCCCTTGGCTGTTCATCACCTCTCCCCTGCTCGCCACCCACTTCAGCCCACCTGGCACCCATTCTGTGGCCAGGGCCAGGACTGCCTCCTGCTTTGCCTTCAACGCCCTGCTCCAAGGCTTCCCTCTCCAGTCTTAAACCAGAGGCTTAAGATCTCCAGTACCAACCACCATGAAAAAGAAACCAACCCATATCCAGCAATAACTTCTGTGCAGAAACAGGAGCTTACTGGGAAAGTCTGGTTTTCTGTTCAGCATGTTGAGTCACACTGTGGTTCTGGGGGAGCTGAAACCACTCCAGGAATTCTTGAGACTGTGCTAAAAAGAGCCTGATTTATTGTGCTGAGGAGCAAAACCATCCCTGGCTGTGGGTAATAAACAACTACCGATGGAGGCACAGAAAGCAGTGATGTTAAAGAATATAAAATTGAATATATTTCTTAGTGACACAGTTATTCAGGAGAACCAAGCCATGGAGCACTTCACATATTGCAGTACAGCACTGCCAAGCTCTAGACCGGCACCTTACTGGACCAGCATCTGCACCAGTGTGGGGCAATGAGAAATACCCTGCCTGGGGGAATTCACAGCCACGCTGAAGACCAAGAGAGGACCTATAGCTACCAGAAGATAAAGAGGGACCGACACTGAACTCCTGTGGGTAAGGAACATCTGTGTGCTCAGACTAGGACCAGCACCCTGCAGAAATGGTTTTCCCATCTTGGGGAAATTTTCAATATTTTATAGTTTTCTTATCAGCCGAAAATTCAAGCTGAGAAATGAAAATCTTAGTCATTATGCTTTGAACAGAAGTCCCTGAATTATGCAGCATAACAGGAAGAAGATACTATAAGATCTTTGTTTAGATATTTGTTCTAAATTTAGAGCTTTTACTGGCTGTAAATAAAATCCTTGTAGTTGCTTATATACAACGTTTTTCCTTCTCTTGGTTTAATTTTGGGAGTGTTAAATATATATTACTAAGTAATTGAAATGTCATAGTCCTAGATTAAGCTCCTCTAGTGGAACGAAATTAAAGGTCTCTGCTCCTGGTTTAGAAGAACCCAGTGTGAATGTTTCACAGTAGCTGCAAAGCCAGAATTACAGGTTAAACTCCCAATCTGTGTGCATGACTGACACTGGGAAAACAGAAATGGTTTGAACTTTTAGAAACTCAAGCCAAGAAACAATGAAGGAAATGTAACTTGTTTTAGATCCAGTGTTCTCCTGGAAGGAAGATGGCTTGGGGCTGGGGTGCATCCCAGGGATAATGTCTGGACTCTGTGTGGGTCTGATGTTTTCATCCCAGATATTCCACAGTGTTTCATTTGGTGGGACTGGCCAAGGCTTGCAGCCTTGTGTAATCACTTCTTTCTTGCTGTGATTTAGGAGCTCATACCCACAACAGTCACTGCCCTGCCAATGGTTATATTGCACTGGAGGGTCAGAGTTCTAGCAAATGTTCATTTGGTTAGGGAAAGAAACCCCACACAAATATCTGTTTGTGACTGTGCATTAAGTCCCCTGCACAGAGGCTGCCCAGAGGCCGGGCACCCACTCAGGTGTGTGTTCTGTGGGAGCAGTGGGGTGTTCAGGGCCAGCCTTCCCCATTCTGTCAGCTCTGGCTCTGCCAGCAGTGGGAGGGAAGCAGTCAGGAATGGAGACTAAGGAACAGCCTCCTCCTGAGTGTTTTGTACCTCAGATGACCCCAGAAAAAACAAGAGGGGTACTAGTGTCTGCTTCCATATTTAGTACAGAAGGGAAATGCCCTCTTCAGCAGGAAGGCAACGTGCTTGACCTTCCTTTCTATGTGTCCACACAGGCAGAATACCAGTAACCTTCATGAGAGTGGAGAGAAACACACCACTGCTGAATTTTGGAGAGAACATGGCATATTTGTCATTGTTGGAACGACTGGGAGCCTTTCACCATCTTCAGCTCTGCAGTGGGATCCTCCATCCAAGCCTGTGACTGGGCATGAGTTGGTGGTTATGGGAGGAAGCAGAAAAAAGTGTTTGCTGCTGTGCTGATTTAATTTTAAGCTTTCACCCAAGGAAGGCTGAGTCAAAGCTGCCTTGCTCCTCACATGGGCCAAAAGCACCCTGTGGCGTTCAGCAGCAAGGTGCTGTTCTCAGCTGGCTTCTGCTTCATTTCCTTCTCAGCCCCTCAGCCAGCTCCATGACGTGCCAGCGAGTACAATTTCCCGTTTCCTTCCTCAGCTAATCCTGAAAGGGACAGTAAATAACAAGAGGAGTCCTTCATAAGCAGATATGAAGTACTCACATCTGCAGCATGCTACTAAACTTACACGATAATTTGTTGTCAGAATATCTATTGGTATGAGCAGCACTGCACTTGGAGAGGCCTGTGCTACAGAATGTCTCATTTCTCCAAGGTTTCCTCTGCAGCAGGGTCCTCCCTTTCTTCCTCCTGGAGGTGATTCTGCTGAGCTGGATGGAGCTGACCGGAAAATGAACAGAAAAAAACAAAATCAAAAATACAAAACAAAACAAAAACCCCAAAACCCCAAACTCATTTTATGTGAAAACATCAAACCAAAGGTTGAGATTCTTAACCGAAAGAGGGAGATTTAAGAATCTTTTAAATGCAACTTTTTTCTTTAACAGCTGGCTCCGAGATGACCAATAGATAATCTCTTTTCACAGCTGAAAAGGCAGCACAAAGGCGCAGTGGCTCAATCCCCGGCGCTACCGGTGATCCGCACCGAGCCCCATCCCCTGCCCCTGATGCTCCGCACGGGCTGAACCCCGAAACAGCGCTGAAGGGCTCTGAACGGGGAGCAAAGGCCCCGCGGGCGGGGGAGCGGGGCTGGGAGAGCGGCTGGGACCGCGCGGCTGCGGCCCCGTCCCCAGAG